AAACAGAAGTCAGTTTAGCCTTTTGTTCCACACACCTATTCAAAACTACCTAAGTGGGGAACGTATAAAATATGTATTATTATTTCTTGACAACTCTCGATAAGTGAGAGATGGACAAGATTAGCAGAGAGGCTTTGTGTACGCCCAGGAAGTTTCAAAAAGAGTTCTCATCGTGGTTAAAGCTGCCTCGCTCACATCAGCGTCAGCGAGACTGTGCACCTCATGCTGGGGTGCTGGGGGGGCCAGCACCTTCCATGGAACCACAGAATCACATGGGGTTGGACGGGACCTCTGGAGATCATCCAGTCCAACCTCCTGCCAAAGAAGGTCCACATAGAGCAGGTTGCACAGGAACTTGCCCAGGTGGGTTTTGAATGTCTCCAGAGAAGGAGACTCCACCATGGAATCATGGAATTACAGAATTGTTGGGGTTGGAAGGGACCTCTAGAGATCATCCAGTCCAACTCCCTGCCAAAGCAGGATTGACTATTACTCAGGACGGCATCCAGACAGGTCCTGAATGTCTCCAGAGAAGGAGACTTCACCACCTGGGCAGCCTCTGCCAGGGCTCTGCCACCCTCACCACAAAGAAGTCCTTCCTCACATTGGAGTGGAACTTCCCATGGTCCAGCTTGTGCCCGTTGCCCCTCGTCCTGTCACTGGGAACCACTGAAAAGAGTCCGGCTCCATCGTCCCTCAACCCACCCTTTAGGTACTTGTAAACATAGATAAGGGCTCCCCTCAGCCTTCTCTTCTCCAGGCTAAAGAGCCCCAGCTCTCTCAGCCTTTCTCCTGACCTCTAGAGATCTTCTAGTCCAACTCCCCTGCCAAAGCAGGATTGACTATTACTCAGGACGGCATCCAGACAGGTCCTGAATGTCTCCAGAGAAGGAGACTTCACCACCTGGGCAGCCTCTGCCAGGGCTCTGCCACCCTCACAGCAAAGAAGTTCCTCCTCATCTTTAGGTGGAACTTCTTATGGCCAAGTTTGTGCCCATTTCCTCTTGTCCTATCCCTGGGCACCACTGAAAAAACACCGGCCCCATCCCTCCTGATCCCCCCTCAGCCTTCTCTTCTCCAGACTAAAAAGACCTGAGTGCCTCAGCCTCTCCTCGTAAGGGAGATGCTCCCTGAAGTCTACTCAGAGGGGGCCCAACCCCAATCAAACCGAAGCCTCACCTTTGTTTTCCAAGTAGGGGGGTGGCCACTGACACTGAAGAGCATGGAAATAGACTTCTCATACCTTTTCCTATCAACGGTCAACCCTACGTGCTGCCTCTGCTGCAGTTGGTAACGTTGCTTTGGAGGAAAGCAACCACTTCCACCCTGCCATGCAGAGTATCAGGTGGCTACGCTGAAAGCAGGAAGGGGGTATAATTTTCCTTCCTGTAGATGATCGGTTTGAGACCTGAAGTTCTCTCTGCTCCACTGAATCCAATAAACTGCATTATCCGTGAATAATCCAGAGGCCTTTTGAGCCCTGTTCCGGAATATGATGGATGTAACTAAGTTTGAGCAGGCTTTAACCAATCCAATATACAGTTTTACAGCTTTATTTTAAAATATTTCAATTTAACGGCATGTTTTGTGGGTTTCACTATAGACTGACTTGTTTGGAACAGCCAGAGTAAAAATTCCAGGGATTTCAAAACAAAATTTCTTAAGAAATCTCCAGTGCCAAATTTGTCTTGCTCATTTATCCCCAGACTACCTCTCTAAACAAACAGAGGCATCCGAGTTAAAATTTCTACAGGTAAGAAGGCTTCTAGATTTTGCCCCATTTAAGGTGTAAGAGTATTCCCTTTCAGTCAAGCCCTGGAATGAAGTATTTTCCTTTTCCATTAGTAACTGGACATACACAGACCCTTCCAACTGTGGTCTTCCAACTGCAGCTAGAGCTCTGCAGACACTGGGTGATGGTTCTCCCATTTTACAGGGAGGCAGATGAACAAAGGGGGGGTGGGGGGGGCTTAAAGTAGCTGCCGAAAGCAACAAAGCCAGGAAAAGGAACAACTGAACACAAAACGTGGGAGTCTGGTGACTTCCCAGCCATCCACCAGCTCCCCCCCTGTCTTTGATAAAATATTACTGTTCTTGAACTTAAAAAGAAATAACAGTAATAGAAAATAAAGCCTTCTGCTCCATTCCTCTTCCTTCCAATCTCTCCCAGAGAATAAAACTCAATAGTAATAACACAGACCTGGGCATTAACAAGATGTAGCCTAGTGCTGAGACTTGAGCACATGACATACTAAAACTCCCCCAGATCTAATGAAAAACACAATGAAATTTTGAACAGTTAAGTGGAAAAAACTATTCAGCGCATAAGACAGTTGGGCAGTACAGCTTCTAGTGCTGTCCACATTCCAGGGTGTATTAATAATAAGACACTACTTGTGCAGGGTTTCCAAATATCACTAATAGAGAAACGAGGGGGGAAAAAAAAAAAAAAAAAAAAAAAAAAAGTGCAGCTGCCAAGCCAAATATAGAGCAAAGTTAATTAAAAAATCACAACTGGAAAACTTAATAACTCTACGCTCCTATAGAAGGACAAAAACGTTTCCTAGCATAATATATGTGTGTTTGTACACACATACGTGAGTATAAAACAGCTCGACTCGCACACCTTTCATGTCGCCTGACTAAATACAGCTGCAATACAGCTGAGCCATTGTTTGTTGGCTGCTCATGGCTGGCGGTGCCATGAAAACCGCATTCCTGGGCACTAAATAATCAGCCTGCCTGACCCCCCAAGAACCTGTAAGTCAAATTCATTTACCCCCAGAGGGCAATGCTCTATTGTATCCTCCCTCCTTTCTAGCCACCTAGGAACAATGGACAATAATTGCAACTGTCACGGCAGTCAGAAGGAAAAATAAACCAGTGCCTGTTTTCACAGCTTACTGCCAAACCTGATCCAAACACCTAATAACCATGCCCCCAACCATAGAGCCACAGTCGCACTAAAAAGCCTCAGATGTGAGGCTTTTGAACAGAGCTGCAGAACAATAACTCGACTTGTGTTCAAAATATGAAGCTAAAAAACAAAAATTAAAGCAAAGAAAACTCTTCTTTGAGGCTGTGCTGTTGCTCCCCATCCTTCTCCCCCCACCCCCCCGGGGCAAGACTGAAAGGACTGTTGAATTTCTTTCGTGCTAGCACATAGCTGCTGCCGCCGCTTTCAAGTTTAGCTTTGTGAAAGGGAAAGAGAGGAAAGGAGAAAAAAAAGATTGCCCTCCAACAGAACAAGATCATAAGGACTGGGAACGGGCCGCCTCCTCAGCAGAGAATCCCTGGGAGTCCTTCTCCGGGCACACCAAGAGTTAAAGAGGCTCCAGACAACACGCAAGAACTGCTGAAATACACACCCAAAAGTGGATATGAAAGCCGCCTGTGTACTTTGGGCCTCAAACACCTTAAAGATTCATCAGTTCGCGGGCAGAGGATGGATGATGTTATTTTAAAACAGTCTCCTTTCAAAAACCAGAGCCCTCCGATAAGCCCGGTGGCTCCCCCGCCTCTTTACAACCTGTTGCTTCATGCGCACGGGGAAAACCCTGCTCAGTGGGAACAGAGAACCCAGGATTTGGCCCTCTGTTAGAATAATAATCATCATCATCATCATAACTTCTCTGCCTATTTGGGGCCGAAGCAGTATATTCTGTCTGTTAGAATAATAATCATCATCATCATCATCATAACGTCTCTGCCTATTTGGGGCCGAAGCAGTACATTCTGCTTTAAAGTTATTCTACATATGTAATGACTATATGCTTTTGAATTACAGCCTCTCGGGGAGAAGCTAGGGGAAGCAAGTGGCATACTTTCCAACTTGTGTAAGCCTGTGGACTAGCACAAGCTAATGCTGGTGGCTTTATGGGTGACAAGCTGGAAGGCACATATAATTAAAATAACACCATCTTTGCACGCGTACCAACAGGCCAACCTCTCAGAGCACGTCACGTCGTGTTCTTCACTGAACGCTGCCCACCTCTCGGGCTGAAGGTCCTTAAATCTAGGACCTTGGGATCAGGGACCACATGGGCAAATAAACAAACAAAAAAAATAACGGAGAGAAACAAAACCTAGTTTGTCAACATAAAAGAAGGCTTTAATTTTAATCTGCCTTGACTTTCACGTTTCCGAAACAACATTGGCTTTGATTTCGCTGCTCCAGATGCACGCTGATATAAATGGGAGAAGAATCAGAGTCCCTGTTTCTTTTCAGAGAGATAATGGCTGCTCTGGAAACTCCAATTTTTGACACACGTGCATATTGAGTCAGCTCCTCATCACAACCACGGAGGAAGAATTATAAAAATATTAAATTAGATGAAAACAAACAACTACAGGTTCCGTAAAATGACCTCACATATATAAAATGGGGAAATATCTTGGCACAGCAGAAGCTACTGCTGCTGGAGAGTGGTCAAATTTTGTCATTTTCCTTCTGGAGTACAGCTTTAAAAGAACATGCTTTAGTGCACAGATGTTGTACGCTGTCTTTTAAAATCTGCACTGGCTAATTTCGGTACCTAGAGGTATCATTACACAAACTTTGCTCTCTTTTTTTTTTTTTTTCCCCTACATGCAGAAAAGTCAAAAAAATCTACATCATCAAAATCTGTCCAAAAATTAACAAGGACTTCTGATCGCTCTCAGCTTCCAGAAGCTGAGCTCTGCTATACTCTTGATAATACATAAACCCGTGTTTGATATGTGAATTGATTGGGTTTTTTTCCAACCCAGCAATAGGATGTGTCCTCTTACAACACAGAATGATATATATGCAACAAAAGCTTCACGTAAGTTCATTCACTTAGGGCAATATACCATTTAATTTGTTTCTATTATCACAGATGGAGAGCACACATTTCATTTAAGCCCCAAATTACGACGTTTCAAGGGGAAGGGGAGAGGAGCAAACAAACAAAGTTCCATAAAGCCAGTGGTATCTCTATAGTCATTCTCAATTTGCTTTAGCACGGAAAGAGCGTTACCTTTTATTTCTCCAAAGTTCCCTGATCCCATGGCAAGAAGCTTGTCTTTCCAGTCCTTTGATAGTAGCTTTTCAATACTGGGAGTTTCTGAGTGAAGGGGGGGAAAAAAAATGTAAGCAAATCAACATGACTGTCTCCACAATAGAACTCATTAAAAGTCTCTCTGCTAAAAATAAGGCCAACCCTATTCTGGGCCCCAGTCCGTAATGACTTCATCAACAAACTGATAAGGGGGGAGGGGGGGGGGGGGGAGGAAAAAAAAAAAAAAAAAAAAAAAAAAGAGTGTGCTTTGTCACCTGCTGTTTCAAACCCATTAGCTTTTTCCTCTTGCGGAACAAAGCCCCGGTAATTCTGTATGACAATGGGCACATATAAACCTGCAGTTCATTGTTTTTCAATTTGGTGAACAAGTTACTGCCCATAATGGATGCCTGTCAATTTCTGGGTGTTAGTCTGCAGTCAAAAAATAATTATGTTGATAAAATGCAGAGTAAAGAGAGAGCGAGAGAGAGAAAGAGTGAGAGAGAGAAGCAAAGAATTAGCTCCTAAATCTGCTACATGTAATTATATCCCTCTGAGTGTTTACAATTACATCCACTTTATAATGTGTGTTTAAACATCGTGTGGTGGTAAGCATACTGTGGAAAGATTTTCCAGTAACACGCACATTATAAATAATAATAAAAAGTTGGGTATGAAAAAAAGCTTTAAAAGATTGCAAAATCCAGAGGGAGAAAAGGCATTGCTTAGAATGGAAACCCATTATTTGCTCATTTCAGATTCTATCACTTCCTTTAAAATAAAATAAAATAAAATATATTTGTTCGGTATTTTCAGGAAAAATGCAGTGAGGGTGTGGATGGGTCTGATATTTATGTCTGTAACTCTTGTATTCTGACCTCTTTTTGTGTAGAATTTTAATGCATAAGTAAATATAAATGCTAATAAAATTCAGAGAACATTAAACTCAATTCCAAACAATGTAATTGTATATTCTTGTCAGCATTTAGATGGGTACACAATTACAATAGCTTTCAATCCCACGATTAGCACTGCATTCAGTTAGAAAATGGAGTGTACTAAAAGATAAGTGTCCCAGTATGCGCCATCTAAATAACAATACCCACACTTATTATCTGGATCTAAGACATATACTGCTATTCTCCACATTTGTGTTTATGTGTATTTGTATTTGTTCAGGCATTTGTTTACCCCCTACCAGGAGCATAAAGGGAGTACATGTTAACTTATCAAAGGGACCGTCTGGCCTAGAGACCATACAATTATTAGCAACTGGTTAATTTTCCCCACAGTAAAAACCATTACGAGCAACCTTCATTATCTCGTTTGGCTAATTCCGCCTCCTTTCTTGAAGCCCCAACTCAAAGCTGGGAGGACGCCACCCCCTCGGGATGGAGGGGGGTGTCTCTTCTCCTCTTCTCCCCTCTCCCCACGGCGTCTGTCGCCCCCGAGGGACTCGGAGAGCCCACCCCCCCCTCGGGCCGACCCCTGGCAGCCCACCAGGAAGGTAGAAACAGCTACAGGGGGGAGGGCGCAGGGATGCACCCTTGCTTTAGCCGACACCCCCCACCACCATCAAGGTGGGTAGGGGCGCCCACCCAGCCCCGGGCAGCAGCTCGGGGGGGTGCGACTCACCGCATCCCACCTAAAGCAGAAGAGATTGGATTTGGGTTGGGGTTTGGTTTGGGGGTTTGTTTTTTTATTATTTATTATTCTATAAAGCGGGGAGAAGCCGCGGCGCAGTGGCCGGCGGGGCCGCCAGCTCCTGGCACTTGCACAAGCGACTTCTGAAGTTTGCACCCACCAAGGAAACCCGGCTCCCAAACGGACCTGAATAGGTCAAAAAAAAAAAACGCCGCTTGCTTTTTATTTTTTTTTTTTCCTCTTTTTTTTTTTTTTT